TTTTGCCGAACTGTAGGCTTCCCCGAAGGAGTTGCTAGAAGGGCTGCATTAGAGCTGGACCACAGAGGTCCTGAATAGCACTATAAGGAGTGTTACAGAGGGAGCTGTTGAAGGTTTTCAAGTAAAAGTAATAATCTCACAGTTGAACTGAGCAAAGGTATACAGTGAGAGGGTGTCTTTTATGGAGTGCCAGCAGGCTTGCCAATGGGCAGACCCCAAAGGACCCTCGAGTCAGGAGTTTGTCATCAGAGGTCAAGAAAACGTGGAATTGGAAATGGAGATTTGAGAATCTTCCCAGATGAGATTGGAACCATGAGACTAGATAAAATGTTCTGTAGATAATGCAGGAAAGGGAGATACAGCTTAGGAGGAGACTTTAGGGTAACTAGAGTAGGAAGAGGCAGCAGGGACAGTATTGTCAAGGAGATGGAAGGACATCCAAAAGAGCCATTTCATGGAGACGCCAGGAGATGACAGCATTTCCAGAGTGGGCAATGGGGCAGAGTGCTACAGGGGTTGAGGCCAGAGAAAAGGGGATTGGAATCGGCCATGAGGATCTCACTGGTAACCTTCAGGAGGGCCACTTCAGTGTAGAGTGGGGGTAGGAACTTGACGACAGGCCACCAAAACAAAGAGTGGTTGACAAAGCAGAGTGTGTGTCTGTAGAAGGAGAAGCAACCAGAGAGGCAACGTTGGGGGGTGGGATGGGGTGCTGGGGGAGACAGGAATCACAAGATTGGGCGTTGTTGGGATGTGCCCATGTCTTCTGAGGTCAGGAGAGGAAGACTTGGATAGAGAAAGACTAGAAACGCTGGAGCTGAATCCTGGTGGGGGCAGAGCAGGCTCCAGCAGGAAGGGAGAGCGTACAGTGGGCTGATGTTAAAAAGAAGGAAGGAATGCATGAAGCATCAGGGTCATAGAGCTGAAGGCCGAGAGGTGAAAACTGGAGTTCATTGTGTCTGTTGGCCTCTATTTCTTTTTTAAAGTTTTTTTTTTTTTAAGACTTTATTTATTTATTTATTTGTCAGAGAGAGAGAGCCAAGCAGGGGGAGTGGCAGGCAGCGGGAGAGGGAGAAGCAGGCTCCCCGCTGAGCAGGGAGCCCGATGCGGGACTCAATCCCAGGATCCTATGATCATGACCTGAGCCGAAGGCAGTCGCTTAACTGACTGAGCCACCCAGGCGCCCCTGTTGGCCTCATTTCTGTAGTAACGTCTGGAGTTGTGTTACCTGATGTGATAGTGAACATGGAGACTCAGGAGCCTGCAAGAGCATGAAGGGAGCTTGGAGTGGTATCTGGGGGTTTGGCACCTGAGAGCTCCAGGAACCCTGGGTCACCCTTGAAGGGTGGGTCGCCATAACCCAGGAGCAATACTTGCTCGGCTCCCTGGGTAGAAGCCCTGACTCCACCCACTACAGCCCTTATCCGGGCTTCTCTCAAAGAGCTTATTCTCTCTGTGTGTGTCCCTTTTTCTCACAGTTGAGTTGAATTATTCCCAAAGAAAATGATAGCTTGATTCTTAAGAGCCAACTGACTAGTGTTATTTTTCAAGTCTTGACATGTCTGGTTACAGACCTGAACCTGTCCTTTTTTACTTGTAATTAAGTTTTTCTTACAAGTTATGTATGGTAATTTCAAGCATCTTAATTATCAGGGCAATAATTGGGCTTCCCTGTTTTCTGGTTCAAGTCAGTACCAGTTTCATTGCTTTTAGGGAAGTAATAAGTTCTCTTAGAGAAAATGTCCGCTGTGCAGCCCACTTGAACAGTTAAATAACCAGGACACTGATAGGCCAAATTCAGTGTCGACCTCCAACTAAATCTCTATTCAGAACTAGCTCTAGACAATATCATCCTCACCGAGGGTCCTTTTCTCATTTCTGTCAGTAAAGTTGAGTTTGACAGGATACAACATTAGTCAGGAATCTTTTGGTTGGAAGTAACAGAAATCCTTCTCTAAGTAGTTTAGCTTTCAAATTGAAAAGACCATATTGGGAATTGGTCCATGAAACTGGGGACATACAGTGATGGATTGGCTTCAAGCAGAGCTGGGTCCAGGGCTTAGACAGTGTTGTCAGGTTTTTCTTTCCGACTCTTGATGCTGGTTTGCCCTGTGTTCAGCTCCGTCATCCCTGAGAACCTCAAAACTGCATCTTTAGAACTTGGAATCTGAGTGAGAGACCCTTCTCCTTCCACCTTCCATATAGCAAACTCAGGGAAGCCTGTGGCATGTGCCCATCGCTGAGCCAGTCACCAGGGCCTGAGAAATGAAGGACACTGGCCAGCCTAGAGGCACCATACGTGGTGTCTCCACAAGATCCTGTGGAGAAGGTGTTTCCCAAAAGGGAAAACTGAAGAAGAGGAGGGAAGTGATGCTAAGTTAAAACCCACAGAAGTCCACTCAATACCCTTGCACACAACCTAAACAGTAAAAACAAAGATAGAGCTTTTGCAGTTTCTGATTGTTTAGGGAAAGCTCAAAGTTTATTATTTATTGTTGCTGATGTTAGTCATGATCTTCCCTGGATTGACATCTTGATGAAAGCAGGGAAGCCTCTCCCAGGGTTTGACTTAGCACAGAGCTGTAAAGTGACTTCAGGAAGAATGCACATAATTTTCAGTGCTCATCTAAAGTCATCCCTTCTTCTAGAGTCTACTCTTTGATTTGAATTGGTTCCAATAAAACAGGTTTGATTCAGCAATCATCTGATTTCAGTCAGGCAAGATAGTAAACCACGGGAGAAGGTTTGGGTATTCCAGTCCCAACTGAAAGTAGAAAGTACAGAGATTTGTGAAGTTAATATGTGTAAAGGGAGTGGTGACATGGAGAGAGACTGAGAGAGGGAAGGAGGGAGGGTGCGTAGCCAGCCGCACGTTGAGGGACACAGCCATGCTTCCTGCCTGCGTTCACATATATGGGCTGTCCTACCCTACCCACCTGCCCTTCCACCACGCACAGGCCGAGGTGGGTCCTGGCTGCCCACCCTCCTACTGCAGAACTCTCTCAAAAGCCCGTTTTCTAAAATGCTATTTCCCTCATCTCCTCAGCACCCCACCTTACAAGCTATGTCTCAGTGCAAATTTCTGTGATAACACAAACAATAAGAGTTCTTAAATTAGACATTTGTCCAATTGAAGCGATATTTTGCCGCTATTTTTAAACCAGAGTGATAGGAGAGTGTCTGGACTCCTCCCTTCCTGGGTGTATAGCTAGTCAGCCTATAGCACATCAAAAATCCTCTCAGTCAGAACCCCGTTGTATTAAGTGTGGTTGGAAATAGATCCAGTAAAGCTGACAGATAAGCTGTATTCCTTAAAAAAAAAAAAAAAAAAAGCCATCACTAATTATCTCATATATTTGAGGAAAACCTGTTAATCTCGCTTAATATGACAGTACCAGAACTGCAGTATAGCTCAGAGAAAATATAAATCGTGATTATTCCTTCTCTTCGTGACTTAACGACAATGTTTGCAGTTTCCACGTGGCTATTAGATACCATAGTAAAGCCACAGTTAATAAGACCATCCGTTCTTGGTGTTCAAAATAGGTGGAAAACCCAATGAAAAGTCTTATCGTTTTTCTGGTTAGCAATGCCCCCATGCTACTTGTATTCCCTGTTCAGTATTTTGTCAGTGTTCATATTGCAAGAATGGATCTCTTCTTTAAAGTCACCCTTTTGGATAAGCAATGAGATTTAAAGGTCCGTTTCTTTTGGTCTTCCTGACAATGCTTTGAGGTGGGCATTATTCATATTATAATTTTACAGGTGAAAAAAACAGAGGCCCGGAAGAGGTAAGGGTCTTGCTATAGTCACACAGCAAGTAAAGAATGGTCTCAGGGCTTCCCCTCTAGTCTCAAGCTCATTCCAACGCTCCAGGGCTGCGTCTCTGGCCTTCTCTGGGTGGATCCGTTATTTGCCCTGTTTTCCCAGTCATTCTTTCACTGCTGCCCTCAAGCAAACCAGACCCACTTTTCCTTTGCTTTGGCAAGGACTTGTGGTTGGGTTGCAGTCGGTTGCAGCAAAGAAGGGAAGCCAGAGGCCTCCCTTAGTCATCGTTGGATGTCCTGACATCCTCCGCTCCTGCCCAGTATGTGGCCAGGGTCCTCTCCCCATCCTGGATGACAGGGCAGGCTCCCACATGGTGTGTTGGCTGTGGATTTAGGGCTTGTTGTGTGAGAAGATTCAGGAAGCTATGCAAACAAGGAACTAATATCTCCCACCCACCTGCCTTCAATCCTGGCTTTGCTTCCTGTCTGAGAAATGTTCTGGTGGTAAATTTGCTTTTACATTAAGGAAAAAAAACAAAACCCTTGAGTTTTGATGGAAACTGTTTCAGTACAATTCTAATGATGCTTGGAAACGGAACTTGCTTTGGAGGAACGGGGATGAGGGACCATGGGACTAGAAATTGAATTCTGAAAATTATTTTTTAAAGATTTTATTTATCTGACAAAGAGAGACACAGTGAGAGAGGGAACACGAGCGAGGGGGAGTGGGAGAGGGAAAAGCAGTCCTCCTGCGGAGCAGGGAGCCCGTTGCAAGCCTCGATCCCAGGACCCTGGGACCATGACCTGAGCCAAAGGCAGACACTTAACAGCTGAGCCACCCAGGTGCCCTGAATTCTGAATTTTCTTAAGAGAGGCTATAATGAGGGCGCCTGGGTGGCTCAGTTGGTTAAGTGACTGCCTTCGGCTCAGGTCATGATCCTGGAGTCCCGGGATCGAGTCCCACATCGGGCTTCCTGCTCAGCGGGGAGTCTGCTTCTCCCTCTGACCCTCTTCCCTCTCATGCTCTCTATCTCTCATTCTCTCTCTCTCAAATAAATAAATAAAATCCTCAAAAAAAAAGAGAGGCTATAATGAGAATAATTTATAGTTTGATAAACTTTTTCTTATATCTAGTCGTCACCTAGTCTGTCCCATCCCAGCCCCCACTGCATTTACTCCCAAGAGCTTGGGCCCCGGGTGGTGATGCGTTTTGTGTTCTGTTACTTTGTTCAGCTTGCCTGGGCCCAATGGCAGAGACCCCAGAACCTGAAGGTGCTGACAAAGATGACCTGCTGCTGTTGAGTGAGATCTTCAATGCTTCCTCCTTGGACGAGGGGGAGTTCAGCAAGGAGTGGGCTGCTGTGTTTGGAGACGACCGGCTGAAAGAGCCAGTGCCCACTGTGGCCCCAGGAGAGCCAGACCCCAGGCCCCAGACAGGCTCAGGATTCCTTCCTTCACAGCTTTTAGACCAAAACATGAAAGACTTACAGGCCTCACTACAAGGTACGTACCATGGGGATTGAAATAGGGGTTTTTTTGGTTGGTTTGTTCTCTATTTTTAATTCAAAAGCCTCTTTCTTCCTTCTTTGTCTTTTTTTAATGTTTCCTGATTTTTATTTTATATCTAGTGTCTTTTTGTGGCTGGTTTTTCATCTTTGTATTTTTCTTTTATACCAGTGACTTTTTAGTTGAAATCTCAGAATCATATTCCAGCTTTAAGATATGTTGCAGGGTTTAAGATCTCTTACTTCTCATCATTTCCTCCTCATGTTCACATTTACTTTTAATAAAAGGTTAGAGAGGTGGCCCTCAATCTTACTGTCTTGCTCTGATTGTAGGCTTTTGCCCGGCATACTTTAGAGGATTAGGTTGTCTTCACAGTCATGGACCAGTTGGCTTAGCCATTCCTGCCTGGACAGTTCTCCACATGGCTATAGTCATGCCATGTTTCTGGGTGCCAAGTAACATCCCACTGGGCTTCTTAACTCTTCTCACATTGGATTTTACCTTGCTTCTTGCTGTCTCTCCTTCCTGGCCCACCCCTGCCCTGAGGATGCTCTCAGCTCCTCTGTTCCTGTTGTGTCTGAAACACGTGGCCCAACAGCCCCATGCATCTTGGCCACCATAGAAATGCAGTTGCCACACTGATCATCTGTGGCCAGCAAAATTGGTCAGGGTGGAAGGCATGCTGGCTGAGAACTACCGGCCTGGGGAGCACCTTGATTTAGAGTAGAGAACTCAAACTCAGATTGAAATTAAAATTTTAGTTTGAGTTTCTAAACAGACCTTGGGAAGGAAACTATTTTCTAGTATTTCAACACCTTTTTCCTTCTTTCATGTCACCTTAATTGTAAGACAGGAATCACTATTAAGAAATTTTCAAATTGTTTTGGTTTTTCCATGAATGTGGGCTATCTCCTTAATAAGTGTTTATCTGGCACTTAAAGCTGAGAACAAACAGCAGAGCTGGAATGATTAAGTAATTATGAGCTATTAAAAAAAAAAAACCTCAGGTCTTTGGAGATGAGATCATGGACACAGCAAGAGTTGGTGGGCAAGACCAAAAAAAAAAAAAAAACAGGTCTTCCCTCTTTTTTTTTTTTTTTTTTTTTTTTTACGAAATACACCATTCCTTTTATCATCTTCTGTGAGTCTCATTTTGTAGCTATGTCATTTATTTTCGGTAATGGAGTTAGAGATAGGAGGGATGAATGGAGTCCAAAAATACCCCCAGTCTCAGCCCTGGGTTTCGCCATCTCTTTCATGGGGCTCCAGATGAGCCAGGCTGCCGGTGACTTGAGTTTCACCCCCACCCACCTGTGGTAGAGGTGCTGACAAGCCGTGGGAGAGCTGGAAGGCCAGAGCCAGGATCCACTACTCAGATCTGGGGGCTGCTGGAGACTCTCCAGCTGTGCTACAGGATGAACCCCACTCAGGCCCCCAGCTGTGAAGACCCACAGGGACTGTGGTGGCAGTGCTCCCCCTTAGCTGGGGTGGCTGCATGTCACTCACTTGTGAGTAGCCCCCACTGACAGCTGAGAAGTCAGAGCTCCACGCCCTCTTCCTGAGCAGGCAGAGTGAGATCTCAGCTCAGGGCCCGTGGCCCTGAACTATGCCTGAGAGTTATGACAGGAGCCGTGGCCGTGGACTTCACACTTTAGCCTTGTCCCAAGTCCAAGGAAACAGCGCTGGAGTAATGCTTGGGTCTAAGGAGGGAGGTGATCTGACAGTGAGAAATGTAAGCTTGTTGTAGAAAGAGGTATTCTTGTACTGGTAGACCAAGGGAGCCCATTTATTTCTCAAGCTGCCAAAATCTCACTTAGGGTTGCCACCCTACTCCTAGCTCCTTAGCAAGTTTCTCATTGATTCGGCAGAGATTTATTGGGTCCTTCTCAGTGCCAGGCACTGGAGATTCATCTGAGAATTTAACAGAAAAGGCTTTTGCCTTCCTGGAACTCACATTCTAATGAAGAGGAGGTAATGAAGAATAAACATCATAAAGAAAAAAATCACAGACTAGGTTAGACAGTGATCCATATTATGGAGAAAAGGAAAAATAGAACCAGGAGGTAGAGAGTGCTGGGTGGATGGCAAGGCAGGTCAGTCTGTAGAACTAAATAGGATTCTTATAGAGAAGATGAGATCTGAGCAGACTTGCAGGAGGTGAGGGAATCGGCCATGGGGAGATGGGGACGGGGGGAACACAGTGCCGGTCAGTGCCTAAGGCAGCACGTGCTTGGTGTGGTCAGGGGTCTGCAGGAAGAGCTCTGTTGTTGGAGTGAGGCAAAGAGGCAGAGGCTTGGCCATACAGGGCCACCTAGCCTTTAGAAGAAACTGGGCCTTTTTTGGGGGCCCAGGCCAAGTTGGGAACCATCACAGTGTCTTAGACTGACGATGGACATGATCTGATTGACCATTTAAAAGGATTATCCTGGCTGCTAAAAGTTTCTTCTTCTCTGCTGGTATTCTATGAAGACCAGTGTTAAAGGAGTTGTTTTATATCCTCTGAGTTACCATGTTTCCTTTGCATGCCAGCAGCCACAAATGGAATGTCTATGGAACTCAAAATGACAGAAAAAAAAAAGTGGAACCTAAGTGTTTGAAAGAGGAAGCACATGTAGCTTCTACCACACCTATGGATTCCCAACAGGTGCTCCCACAGTTCTAGCCCTGATGCTGTCCTGATGCAGGGAACCTTCAAAACAGATGTGGTACAAATAAAGAGCAGGTACCCTGCTTCGATGACTGATTATGTTACCCAGTTAGAACCACATTCTGTGCTTTTGCCAGGACTTTCCCCACCTGCCTAAAAAAGAGGAAAAGATGAGTATTGGCTCTAGATTCTTTTTATTACTTCCATAGTCTAGATAAAGTCCATCTCTGTACATGAATTACAAAAGCATCTGTTAAACTTCTGATACCTTGTATTGAAACTGCTTCCCCTGATTATCCAGATCAGCTCAAAAACCAAATTAAATAAACAACGGAAACAAGTAAGTATTCAAACACAGCATGCAGTAGAAAGGCTCTCTGTCATGTTGGTTTAGTGAAACAAGCAGTGGCAGAGAGTTAACTTACCTAATCCTCACCACACCCTTCCCAGGCAGGTACTATCATCATTTCCTTGTTAGGGCTCGGGAAACTGAGGAACAGAGGAACTAGGTAATTTGTCTGAGATCATACATCTGGTAGGAGGCAGACAGACTGTGAACCCGAGCCATCTGACTCTGGAGTCTGTGCCTTTCACCATTCTGTTGCTTCTCTGTACCAAGTCTCTGATGGTAAATGTGATTCCTCTGTGGGTTCCTCCAGGCCTCTCCTTGGATGCTCCCAGAGGAGCAGGACTTGTCATGATTAGTCTGGCCCTGGGTGTCCTGGACACACACAGAGACAAGGACAGGTGGTTGCCATGGAGGAGGAATGTGGGTGTGGGGAGGCAGGGTCCCTGTCCACCTCAAAAAGTGGATGATGTTCCAAAAAGAATTTGAAATCAAGATTGTCTATAGAATCTTCGCCTGTGCTAGCAGCCACCCACATCTTCCCTGGAGTGCATTCCTGCTCCGTCTCACCACCATTGTTCTAGTTCTCTGTGAGGTCCAGGTGGGGCTGCATCCTCCAGGTCAGAGTGTCAAGAGAACTCTCCAGGCTCCAGCTGCAGCAACGTCTCTCTTCCACAGGCTGCATTTTCCTCCCCTCTCCCCTCCTCACTTCTCCTTCACCTCTTCTATCTCCTCCCTCCTCTGTCTCCCCATTTTCTTCTGCTTCCCTCCCTCCTTTGTCCACTGTCCTCCCTCTGCTTCCCTGTGCTCTGGGTGAATAGAAAGGAAGGGAGATTTAGTAAGATAACAATCATATTTTCCTCATCCCCCCACCCAACTTCAAGCTCTAGGAGAGCAAAACAAAGTAACTTACATTTAGGATCAAGTTGGGCTGAACATTTAAAAGAGGAGTTGATTTTATGTAGGATTTCTAAGAGTTTCTGAAGTTACCAGCATGATAGGGGCTGGGGTTTCCTGTCATACAGTGATGAGAAAATTGTACCTTCTGGAGGCCTCTTAAAGTGCCTAGAAAGAGAGCTGGCCAGAGGGGTTGCCCAAGGTGGGAGACAAGGTGAGGTTGAAAAACCTCATTTGACATTCTTCTCCATTCTCCACCAATACCCCAAATTTAATTTAGAATTAGACGCTGATACTGAAAAGACTACCATCTGCTCAAAATAAATGCATTAGGACATCTTTTAATTTAGGATTCTGCAAACCAAAGTTAGGAGTCTTGTTCCACATTCTCACAAACATACAGCTCTGCATTCCTTCTGGATATTCTTTTGTTTTACACCATGCCTAGGTGCTGTTGCCATCTGGGTGGGTTTCTATTTAAGGCCAATGTAATGTCAGACTTTGCATTATCTCAAAATCACCTTTCCTCAAACTAAGCTCACCTCTTGCCATTCCTGGCTTAACTTGGTTCCAGGTAACTGATCTGAGATGAGTTGGAGAGGACTGTGGGGTGCAGTTAGAGTTTGACCACGGAGTAGGCACTCTCGGCATGAGCCAGTAGAATTTTTGTTCCATTAAAGAAGGAGCTTGTTGAGGAGCATCTGCCGGTCGTGGGTATGTGCAGAATTTAAGTGCCTCAATTAATCCATAGAAGGAGGCTTGATGATCATCTACTCCACCCTCATTTTATAAATGAGGAAATCAGGAAATCCCAGATAGGTCTTGTGACTTGCCAAGTAGTTGCAGTTTTATATCCACCATTTGCCTAAGTTCTAAACTCCTCAGCTTGGCTTACAAGGTCCTTTAGAACCTGACCCCAGTCCCGTTGCTGCCTACACTTCCCACACCTTTACTTAGCATGACTTAATAACCTTGTTTTGCCGGAGACCCATGTATTATGTCAGTAAGCTGGACTCTAGCCATATCGAACTTACTGAGTGAGTCTGGCACATGCTCTTTCTCCTCCTTAGAGCATGTCTCCCGCCTCAGACCCATGATGCTTGCTTTCCCTGGTTAAGTTCTCATCCTTCAGGTTCTCAGCTTCAATGTCATTTTATCCAGGGAGCCTTCCTTGACTCCCTCTCCCCACCAGCAGTGAGGGTTAGGTGTTTCTGCCTCCATTCCCTTTACACCCAGTACTTACTCATTCCTCTTCTCTCACATCATTGTAAGATTGGTGTAATTTTCTGTCTCTTGCTTTTGGTTGTTATGGGCCGGGCCCATGTTTATGTTGCTCACTATCATATTTCCAGAACATGGCTGAGTGCCTGGAATACAATAGATGTTCAAAAAAAGATTGGGGGCACCTGGATGGCTCAGTCGTTAAGCGTCTGCCTTCGGCTCAGGTCATGATCCCAGAGTCCTGGGATCGAGCCCCGCATCGGGCTCCCTGCTCAGCGGGAAGCCTGCTTCTCCCTCTCCCACTCCCCCTGCTTGTGTTCCCTCTCTCGCTGTCTCTCTCTCTGTCAAACAAATAAATAAAATCTTTAAAAAAATAAATAAATAAAATTAAAAAAAAACAATAAAAGAGTGGATGGATGGATGGATAGATGACAAGAAGGGAGAGAGAGAACAACAGACATTGAATCACTAGATGAAAAGAAAGCAATCCTAAACTAATGTCAGGGATTGCTCCTCATGTCTGCTGAGCTCTACTAAACTTTAGATTCAGCTTAGATTTATTGGTGGCCTGCTCTCTAGCCTCTGTGCTCCCTGATTTCACCTACAAGATCCCATTTTACTCATGCAACAACCTAATGAGGCAGGAATTTTTATCCACCCTTTGCAGATATGAAAACGGGCCCAGAAGGGGAAATGTGGATGGCAAGGTGGTGCTTGGCTACCATGATTGTGGTGTTCCCACTTTCCCCTTCACTGCCAACCCCAACTCAGTGCCCTTAGGCTGTGATCATCAACCCAGCCCGGGCTTTTGCTCTCCCAGCTAGTGAAATTACATTCATGGTAAAGTGCTCCTCTGGATGGTGTTTTTTTGGCTTCAGTTAACTGCTCTAGCTGGCCAGTGTTATTTCTGGCTGATTTATATTTTCCCTTATGTAAGTAAAGGGGGCAGGATTGCTCCAATAAAATTTTATATGTGTTTCCTGCAAATGGGTAGCACAGTTGAGATATCAAAGGATCTGTGAGCTAGAATCGTCATTTTGTTCACAGAGCTCTCCGCGCTTGCTCCATGGCCCCCACCCTTCACCACCCTCTCCTGACACAATTACTCAAAGATGGGGAGACATCTTTCTAGCCACACCTTCATGTTAAAAACGCCTCAGCCAACTAACACCAACTAGAGAACAGTTGATGGCAATTACAGGAATATTAGCTACACTAAGTTCTCTTTAAATAGCATTTTTTTCTTGACAGAAGCCAAGATATTTGAAATCTGGCTTCGCATTCCATCCATAATTACTTTCATTGCACCCCTCCCCTAAATAATTCCCAAAGTGATATGAGTGAGGATGACATTGCAGCTGAGCTTGGTGTTTTCTTTTCTTTTCTTTTTCTCTTAGCTGGTGTCTCAGCCATACCATTTTCTCCCCTCGTGCACATATAGTCCATTGTTAGACTTACACTTAATAGCTGTTCTAAGGAAACAATGTGACTTGGCAAACTAGCTGTTGTTTCTGCCTCTCACTATGGGGCAAGGGAATAATGATACCCTGTGTCTTTGTGAAAATTCTGAGGTATGCTGTCCCCATTATTTTAGTCCCCAAAGAGGGCATGTCTTCAGATTCATCCTTCTTCATGTCCTCTGCTGCAGAGAAGCCCTCAAATCCATTGATTCTAGATGTTACTTCTATGGTTCATGAGTGTTTAGGCAAGCAATTAAATTAAATTAAATCATCCATAGTTACAAATGAATCCAATTAGAAGCCATTTATTGTCTTTATAAAGGAATATGCCATTATAATCCTTGAAGTGATGGGCTTGAAATATGATTTATATTTCTGGTACTTTTAAAATATGGCTTGATATACAGACATTTTATTTATTTATAACTTCGGGAACATGCTCATTACATAAAGTGAGGGGAGCTCCATTTTGACACGTGGATTTATTTCTGCCTTCTTTAGGAATGTGTTCCATTTTATACTCTGAAAAATACAATGCTTTGAACCTGCCTTGCTTTTCGAACATTCTCTGCAACCATTTTAAAAAATGAATGTTGTGCATATTTTTGAAATGGGAAGAATTAATCTCACTGAGTTCCCACTGTATCAAATATCATACAGAGATCAGGGAGGGTTGACTTCTATACATCTCATTTGGCTTTGCTCTGAGTCAGTTCAGATTCTCTCTGGAAGTGTGGGCCTCCTTGAACTCAGAGAGCTTCATGGGACTGAAGAGCTTAAAACTGCAGGACCTGAGAAGGTGGGGTTTTGAGACGGACCCCTGTGTTTCCTAGGAGGGCCTCTCTGTCTGGCTCTGGCCTCAGCCAAGGTGATGGACCTTATCCTGATGGACATGGTGACCCTTGCAGCCTCCTTGGAGACCACCTATGACAGTGCTTCCCAGACTTGCACTTGCATAACAGTCACTGAGGGGTTGTTGAAACAGTTTCTTGGGCTCTGCCCCTAGGGATTCTGATTCACTGGGTCAGGGTTGGCCCTGGGAACTTGCATTTCTAGCCAGCTCACAGGTGGTACCCATGCTGTGGGTGTGGGCACCAAAATTTAGGAACCACTGCTCTGAGAGATTGAGGCCAGGCTTGTAGGGGTTGGTGGAAAGGTTCCATGGGTCTTGAGTACTTTGGTGTTGGGGACAGGGTTGTAGAGAAAAGGGTAAAATTTACTCAGTTATAACTATTCTACCTCTTTCAGCTTTATTTGGCATACTGTGGATCCACAGCTCTAACTTCCCACATTTACCACTGTTTTATGTGATTTGTGCTTAGAAGTAATGCTCATGGGCCAGTTATCTAGGAATTAGAGAGGTTGTGTTACTCCTGGATTACATCAAATACATCAGTTTTATAACTTTTTTTGAACTGTAATTTACATACCATAAAAAATCAGTCATTGTAAAAGAGTGATTCAAGGATTTCTGGTAAATTTATATTGTGCAATAATCACTGTAGTCCAGCATTAGAACATTTCCATTATCCCAGAAAGCTCCTTCAGAATCTGGTGCTTTTGACTGTTTATGAATTATGTTAATGACATATTCAAATACCTTTCCAATGAATAGTAATACTTTAAAAAACCCTCTCTATGTTCGCATTGTTTTAGATCCAATAGATAGATCACAGGCCACTTGTTTCATTTGTCATTGGTTAGTCTTCATAGAGAAGTTTGTATGCCACTTGCCCAAAATGAAATAATTCAGCCAGTGAGTATTAATAACATCTGTGCCAAGCATTGTTTTGCCATCTTTTAAAATAATGCTTCATAAGTGTAATTCTCATGGTTTAAGAATATTCTCCAAGAGTTTATCCTAATTCAACAGCCCTCATGTGCCAGACGGTGTGCTAAAGGATGTAAAGATGAATAAAATGTGATTCCTGCCTTCAGGAAGCTCACAACTCTAGGGGATGACACAAAACTGCAAACTAATAAATATAGTAGGATTCCGTAGTTAAGTCCCCTATTAGGCATCTTAGAATAATGGCAGGGGAAATGAATAGCATGAAATCCTGTAATTTTTTTGGCATAAACTCCGTGACTTTCTTGCTCCAGAAATTGGTTTCACTGCCCCAGCTGAACTGTGCCATCCAAACATGTTGTCTCATGAGGGCCTTATCAGAGACAAAACCTTTTCTGATGCTATAACCAGAGCATCCCAGTAAAAGAATACCGTTTTAAGAATACTGGACCCAACAGTGGTGCATCATCTGATGGTCTGTGTTTCACAGTGAGAATCAAGAATGGACTTAGTCCACAACACCTTTCCTATACTGCATTAGGTATTTTGGAGCAGAGTGAAGAAACAGTTTCTTGTCTCACTGAGAAGACAGGACTTCCACACCAAGAATTAAAGCAGATGTGCAAAGAAGTATTTGGTAAAGTTCTAAATTAAATGTAAGCCATACCCAAACATCTAGCACACTTAGTGAATGCCCTGGGAAACGAGGCTTGCTTCCCCCAAAGCAGGACTGCCAAATGCACAATGCCATGTACACATGAGGGGCGGGCAGAACGCAGGGACGTTACAGAATGTTGGGTTTCACAGGCTAAATGCCACTGTAAGATAAAGCATCAAGTTAAGGGGGGCTTGCTTTCCCCTCATATATTTGGACTAGACTACCATTTATTTCTGTGTATTAACTAAACTTCTCAATCTAAATTAGCTGTATAGAGAATAAATGAGCTGGATCATAATGAAGTAGAGAAGACTTGCAGTTTATTAGTTATATTGTTGCATTTACTGGTGGCCACTTCTTTAAGCTTTCTCCATTTATGACAGAAAGGCAAGGCACTTAATTTCCTTGGAATGCTATGGATAATCTTTGGTGTGACCATGAAATAATGTTCCTTGAGAAGAAAAATGGGGATAGAGCTAAAAGAAAAAATGTCTTAACCTTAGCAATTTCACAGTTTCTTTTTCAAAATCAATCTTTTCCCTAATTTTCCATACTTATGAATTGGGCATGGTTATACATATCTACTGTCCCCTAAAACCTATCCCAGGTCTGAGGATTATGGCAGAAGGGCCTTGTCACACCACCCTCTTCCCTTTCTTTGGAGGCCACTGTGGGTGAGACCTTGTGTGCACCCAGCAACTGGCGGGGTGGTGTGTCTGCTCTTCCCTAGCCCTAACCACCTCTGGTTTTGAACAATAGGCTGGTCAGAGAGCAATGTCAGTCCTCCTCCTACTCCATGGCCAGCACCACAGGCAAGCAGTCCAAATGACAACAGCCCTGCAATGAAAGGTAATACTGTGTTTTATTCCCTGGAAATGACAGTTGCCTTCCTTTCCACTGGCCTATTTTCTGTCTTTCTTTACTAATTTCTGTTTGAGCACCCAAGGGTGCAAATCAGGGGCTACAAGGGTGGAGAGTTTTGCATTCTGACTTTTTCTGGCATAGTGTCCTAATTCATAATTCCCTTTATCAAACCAAATGAGGAGGAATCAAATACCCATCTCCACGTGACTGGGTGCTGCCCGACATCGGGTGGATACAGCAAGGTAGGAAAGGCCACTGAGGTCTGCTGTCTTTAACTGAAAATACCATTGCCACCACCAAACGAGGCATTTAATTAGTGCTTCTCGGAGAGAGCTGGCTTTCCTTCGTTGTCACGGGAGGGCCTTTCAAGCTCATGGGACTCTTCTTTTTTGAGATAGGCCCCCAAAGAGAACATGTGCTCTACTGAAGATCTCTGTATCTGCAGCTGCCTCTCTCTTCCTTTGGTCATCACCCACTTTCCCTGTGTTGATCACAGGAAGTAACAGGTGGTGTCTTTATCATCCAGAAGCATTCCCATGATGTTCTTTTAGGTATTGTGCAGTTGCACCTGGTTTCCCACACTCTAGCAGTGGAGGTCTAAGGAATGTGAGGGCTGACCCCAAAGTACAGTCACCTGACTCCTCCTAGCAAGGCCATAGCTATCTCTGAGGGCTGCCCTAGATGTTTGGGAGGTTAGGAGGAAGGGGGAGTGGGTGTAGCATATTTTTGCTGGAGATATCTTTAAGATATCTTGATATTCCCTATCAAGACTAGAAATAGGCTCATCCTCTCTTTAAATCAGTCTTGTTCCATAGTTTTCTGTTATGGCCTCCTACATGACTAAAAATGAGTTATTCCCTTTTTTAAAAGTTGTTCCCACTCTACGACCCAACCAAACTATATTGAGATCTCTTAAGTCTCACTTTATCATGTCAAACTAAGCCAAGTGTTCTGCGGGCTAATTGCCCATGGAATTCAATTAATGTTAAACGGTAATAACTTGCATGTTACTAACTAGCCTTGCTTGCAGTAATTTTATGTCTATAATGCATTGATTATCTCATGATAAAGTAATCTATGAGAGATTATATTTAAAAAAGACGGGAATCAGAAGTATACCACAATTGGCACATTATCTTAATATTTCAGTGCCATTTTCATGAAAAGACCAAAGGCCTGTTGATGTGCGACAATTCCGTCACCCTGGCATAACCTCGGAGCAGCGTGCCCCACCAACACTCTCTGAGACTCTTTAAGCCAGCTGGCAAGCACATTCCTAGCTGCTCCCAGCGAGGAGGATAACCTGTCAGACATTTTCTTCATGCTTTTGATACTCCCACCTGTTGGGGAAGGGAAAAAAGCCTGGGTCATCCAAGCCAATGAACTTCGATCCTCATGTGGAATGATTTATATAGAGAAGAGCCCCCAGCTTATGTAGAAATCACTTGCATCAGGCACTCATTGGAAAACATTCTCATCTGGAAAAGAATTGGTTCTCTAATTGTTGTCATTCGGGAAGTTAGGGCAGGTGGTTCAGAGAAAGAGCAGCTGAAGGGGAGGCTCTAGTGAGGGTGAAGTGGAATGGGAGTGTGGGGGCAATTTAGAGCCCTGCGGGAGGAGGGGGGGCATGTCAAAGGCCTCCTTCCTCTGACGGGAGAGGGTGGAAGAGGGCAGTGACCCTGAGAAAAGAGGAGCGGCCAGGCCTTAGGTGCCAACCCTCCTCTAGGCCTGTTGCTTTGAAGCCTGAAAAGAGTGGCCACAGTATTTCCCTTGGCCCAGCAGATTTGAAAAGGTTCCTCCAGTGGACACTGTAAGGCACCTTGCTTCCTCAGCCATTCGGTCTGATTTCTGAAATCACAGTGTTATTTCCTGCTTGTGTTGAAGCAGCGGGGTCTGAGGTTTGGGGCAGCTTGGTGGGCTGTGCCGTTCACTGGAGCGGGGGTACAGGTGTGGGTTAACACTGAGCTCGTTCTTCACTGAGCTTTAGGCCGTGGTGTAGAATTGTTTATCGGCCAGCCCACAGGGAGACATGGAATTCCCTAACTAGTTTTAGAGGCAGTCTGACTGAGCCGTATAGCATCCTCCCTTTGCAAGAGGAGCTTGGACCCACCTGCATGCCGCATGGCAGAGGTGGGCCTTTGGAAGGGGCCTGCATTCATGTTTTCTTTTCTCTCTCCAGAGCCTGTGAAGGCTGCCTCAGACCTGACTGCCTGGTTCAGCCTCTTTGCTGACCTCGACCCATTATCAAATCCTGACGCTGTTGGGAAAACCGATAAAGAACACGAATTGCTCAATGCATGAGTCTGCAGCCTCACGGAGGGAGCCCACGTGCCACTCCTCGGTCACACCTCTGGGGGCACGCAGACGTATGAAGTGATCAGTATGCTGTTTTAATATTTATGTGCCATTTTAATAAAATGAGAGGGTCAGAGGCCCTGTTTATATTGGTATAATTTACTCTTATTTGGTATAAAGGGTTTGAGTGTATTCTCTATGTGGATCTAATAATACAGGATTGTCCAGGAGCAGTTTCCAGGCTGCCGGCTCTCCTGCCTACATCTGCATCATGGCTGCTGATGTGTCACTGGGATACCGTGAGATCCAAGTTCAAATCATAAACCTGTTCTGTGTTAGGTTTAAATAATGAGTCCTATAGCCTTAGATGGGCAGTGGGAGGCTAACAGACCTCAAATGCCTCCTTGTGTACCCCCTGCCTCTGTGGCCCTTAGAGGGGGCTGCAGGAAGACCCTCCCTTCCTGCCAAGCCACCTTCCAGTGAGCTCTGGGTGAAGCCCGGCCAACCAAAGACACTCTTCCCCAGCCCTGGCCGGGTGGGCTGTGTGTTCTCACGTGGGCAGGGGGCTGGGCTGGTCTCCACTGCACGGACCTTTCTGTGGAAAGCAGCCATAGCTGCAGATGCCAGTGTCCCCTTCTGTCTTCTCCATGGCTGGAATTCAAAAGCATGTATTTCTGGAGTCCCTTGTGATATTAACTTTTTTTTTTTTTAATTAAATGGCAGAGATATTTGACATGCAAAGGCAAGTTAATAGAGTCTGTTGTGGGGACTCAGTGGGGGAGGTGCCATGGACGTGGGGGCTGGGGAGGGAGGAGGAGGACAAGGGCTAGTCCCACCGTGTGGGGCTGTCGACATGACCCCATACATCGCCCCCATGCAGTCCAGGGGAGGACGGCATGGACTTCTGTTGGCTCAGCCAGAGATGGGAGCAAGTTTTGCACGTGGGCATTTAAGCGGTTCAGACACTCCACCCATGTGGAGCCCCCGGGGCTAGTGGCTCTCCTCCCTTCCCTGTGTCACCTGTGGCCCTGAGTGGGGGCACGGTTGCTGATTAGCAAGAATTGGTCCTATGTGCCCAGCTGGGTCAGGGAGGTCTCTGCTGCACTCTTGCAAGCTTCACTCTCCAGCTCTGAAAGGGTCTCCTGTGGCCACCTCCCCGACACAGGAATGCGGCTTCTCTGCTCTCTGTGGTGTGCCCTTATGGAAGGACCTGGCCACAGCAGTAGCCACCATCCTCTGCAAGACAGCCTTGGGGGCCTGGAAAGCATTCTCCTCCTCCTCCTCCGTGCAGGAGTAGACCTGAAGGCGAGTTGGGGCAGGGACTCAGTGTGTTATATGGCTGGTGTAGCTCTGCTCACTTCCTGGCCAGCCCAGACTGTCCACGGAGTCTGTTTGTAAGAATCTCACTGAATGACTCCTTAGCCTGGCACACATGGTCTTTGAGGATATCAGGATATAGCCCTAGGGCCCCCACCCGCCCTCCCACACATACACAGGAAAGCTTTCTGGATCCTTAAGCCCTTCCTCTGGATTCTTGGCGTATCATTTGCTGCACACTCCACCCCAGACGGCCCCCTCTCCTTACTCTGAGCCGCCAGCACACTCCAACTTGCCCCTCAGGAGCTCCTCGCATCCCACCTCCTTTAAGTGTAGCACGCAGTTTTTCTTCAAGGAACCACCCCTCACCTCTCCTTCCTGCCCTTGTCTGTCTCATGATTAGCACATGCTAGGTGCTCTGCCTGGCCTGGGAGGCCTCTATGTATGCATCTGCCTCTAGCACTAGGTGTTGCAACCCCAGAGAGCAGGGTCCCTGTTTCCCCAAATCTTCTGTGTCTCCCTAGTAATAACCAGCCTGGAGTCACCTGGCAAGCCCTGGACTCATGATTCCTGAATGGAGCTGCCCTGTGTGGAATGAGGATTAAGGACTCATCGTTTCCTCCTGGGTCACATTTGCTTACAGCCGTGGAAGCCCACAGAAGCCGCAGGAAGAGGACGAAGCAGCGAAGCAGGAGGGGTGGACTTGCTCCATCCAGGCTGGAGGCACAGGGAGCTGGCTGGGGGGGCGGGAGGGGGCAAAGGGGTGTGGGGTCCTTCTCTGTTGAATGGATCACTTTAAACACTAGCAGGTTGCATTTTAAAGTTGATCTGTGGGTGAAGGGGAGTGGAGGATTGTGGTAGTTGAACAGGCTTTGCTACCAGTAAAAGGAAAGTACTGCACATGGAGGCATTTTCTCCCTGAATTTTCTTTACATTTTTGTTTAAAAAAAAAAAATTCAATTCCCGTTCCCATCTGCAATGCACTTGGCCAGGCTCTTGATCCCTCTTGATAGGCGTGTTTTGATCCTGGCTCGCACAAAGCCCCCTCGGCCACCTCTCTAGTTTAAGGAGAAGCAGCTGCTGGCTTGTTCTCTTGTAAGAGGTCTGTGTGCCGTGCAGCCGGGGGGCTTCCTTGGGGGCCCACCTCGGGGCCCCTCCCCAGCCGCCTGTAGAAGGACTGTCTCTGGCTGGAGGAAAACAAAAGTGCTCCACCCCCTTCACGCCCAGTCTCACTACTCCCTCATTTTCATCCCGTGTCTCCAGGCTGGTCTGCACCACAATTGCACTGGAACCCTCGGGGAAATTCAGAGAGCACCTGCTCCTTGAAAACTTCCCTGCCGTTTTAGGTGGTCTGCAAGTTTCCCTTCCCTTCTCCTGCTGCCCCAGCCAATATAGAAAGAATATTCACATTTAAGGGAGGGAGCCAGAAACATTTCTCTTTCCTCCTTTCTTTTTCTCCCAGCTGGCATGGGCTTTGGTGCACTTTATAGATTCATTGCCTTCAAAATGTAATTTTAGAAATGTCAGGTTGATTTTGAGCTGTGTGAGAGTGAGAAAAGCATCCGTCAGCTTCAGAATTAGAAAGGCACCAACTTAGAACTTTTTGTCGGAGGCTTATGCCCAAGAAAACGTGGTCTGCTCAGAGTTGGCAGCCCCGAGAGCCCTGGGTTGCCAGTGGGCATGTAGAGGGGGCTCCCCGTCATGCCGTGGCCAGAGTTACATGGAGTGTGGGCCAGAGCCGAGGCCCCCGGGGTGCCATGGGAGGCTGCCTAGCCATTTGGGTCAAGATGTCTTCTGCCCATGCCTCAGCTCCAGAAGCCAGTTAACTGAGCTCCATGCTTCCCTCTCTCAGACACCACAGCCCAGAGACCCCTCCCTAGGGGCCGACCCTGGCAATGGCTCCGGGTTTAACTATTGGCACTATTGATTTTGTCAGTATACCAAAGTGCAACTGTCTTTATGATCAGTGTCCTCCAGACAGGCCATGGCAGTTAGTCCTTTGATTCAGACCATCTCTAGTCCTCTGACTGGCACCACGCACAGTGCAGTGATGCTTTGTTGGAAAATAGAACTCAACTTGGAGCCAACTTTAGTGATTGGCAGTGGCTGCCAAGAATGCTGCACAGAGAAGAATTCTGATAAATGAGTGATGTTTGTGCTGGGATTAGGGCAGGGAGTGGTGGTAATCATGCTGTGTGTGTTTCCCAACACCACATTAGACCTTGTCTTTCGTGGGGCTTTTAGAGTTTACTATTATTACTACTACAAGTTACAACTACTCTCCTTCTCCTCGTCCTCCTTCTTTTTAAATAAAGAACTAGGATTCCAGAACCCTGAGAGAGGGTTCTCAAAAAATCTCAAAAAATGCCTAATTATTGCAACCTAATTCAACTTAAATTCTTTTAAACAACAACAAAAAATGAGGGTGGATTTATGTGTTCAGCTAACTAAAACGGCTGGGTGTATGCTTCAGGCATGGGGGCTCAGGTAGGGGTCTCAGCAATTTCCCCCTCTTCGGCTCCCATCTTTGATTCCCTCCATGTTGCTTCATTCTAACAGACTTCTCATAAGGAGGCAACATGGCCACCCGTATCTCCAGCCAAAGTCTTGGAGTTGAGCCTGCCTTGAATCCTGTGTCCGGTCTTCAGTCAGCCCCTGGAATCAAGGTGGGTGGGGGTGGGAAATAGGCTGTTTCCCCGGCTTTTCCTGGGCCTGTCCCTGGAGCCTGAGCCTCCAGGACTGGGGATGGAGAAAGGATGGTTCCTCTAGGGGAAGCTGTGCTGCTGATACCAGAGGGATAAATGGATCCCTGGGCAGGAAAATGCCATGGTGATCCACTCCAGTTTCCCCTGGAATGACCTTGAGGACACACTTGTGTATTGTTTCTGGAGGGGGTGTGGGGCCAGGAGGCTGAAAGAACTGGAATGTTTTCCAGAAACCCGTTGGAGGCCAC